AGTCTGCCCTGTGGTTCCCTCTGCCAAAGGCATTAGTTCTGAGGCAAAATGTGGCTGGTTCTGGATCTCTTGTCAAAAAGGGCAGCACGGAGTATCTCTTTGTATATTTCTAGTGGACAATTGAGCACAGGCGTAGGCAACCTTTTTGAGCTGGGGGCCAAGTTGCTGTCCCTCAGACAATTGGGGGGCAGAAGCATCAAAAATAAACAAACAAATAAATAAATAATGTAAAAAATATGCATGCACACTCTCTCAGCCCCAGAAAAGTCATGGCAAAACCCCTGTGGAGATTTTGCCAAGAATACCCCAAGAACAAGTAATAACAACAATAATCAATATCATGATGGCGAGCGGTGGCGGCGGCGGCAGGACCGGCTTGGGGCCGGTCCAAAGGCCTCGGGGGTCCGCATCCGGACCCTGTGCCTTAGGTTGCCTACCCCTGATTTAGCTAGCATTGCCAGCAGTGGAATGAGGCTCCATCTGTTTTCATTGATGACGGTGACACAAGCAAAAGGATGCAGATGGGTAGCAGAGGATGGTTTCGATCCATCGACCTCTGGGTTATGGGCCCAGCACGCTCCCGCTGCGCCACTCTGCTAGATGACAGCAAGGGACCTTTGAGGGCTTCTGAGTGGGTTCTCCCTGAACAAGACTCAACTATGAAACCTCAGGGCAGAGAGAACAGGGAGGGAACACTGTCCAGGTCTCTGTGGTGCAATGGGTTAGCGCATCTGGCTGTTAACCAGAAGGATGGTGGTTCGAGCCCACCCAGGGACAGCTGCTGGCACCCTGACAGTGATCCATTTTTCTCTCTGTGTCTGTGTAGATTCCAATCCCACATTCATTCAGGGTAAACATTTTGTGCTGTCAACACATGCTGCCATTGCTTCTTAAAGAGCAAAAGGTTGATAGCTGTGTACACCAGCAAGAACCCAAATTGAGAAGGTAAAGAGGATATTGTATTACATGATATCAATGTTTTAATATTTGAAGGGGTGTCATATAGATGGGGCGAGCTTGTTTTCTTCTGCTCCAAAAACTGAGACACAGCAATGGATTCTAACTACAGAGTAAGAGATTCCATTTAAACATTAGGAAAAACTTGCTGATGATAAGAGCTGTTTAGCAGTGGAATATGCTGCCTTGGAAGGTGGTGGACTCTCCTCCTTTTGAGGTTTTGAAGCAAAGGCTGGATGGCCACTTGTCGGGGGAGCTTTGAAGGTGTTTTCATGCATGGCAGAGTGAGGTTGGACTGGATGGCCCTAGAGGTCTTTTCCAACTCTATGGTTCTATTAATCTACATTTGGGAACCATGCATAATAATTCTTCTCCAGAAGAAAACAATCTTTTCCACGTGAAGAAAGTGATTGCTACGTTCAAGTAACTCAACAGTTACTCAGGGCAATTGAAGAAACAACATAAGAACAGGTCTAAGTAGACTTTGATACTTTAAACATATTTCTGTAAATGTCATGGGTTTGAATTCGGCATTGAAAACTCTGGGGAGGGGGGCAAAGAGTTTGTTTACCAATCGATAAAATGTAAGGGGAGGATTTAGGTGGAATTCAGGGCCAGAATACTCCAGATGTGGCCCAGTGTACTCTGGCTAATGTAGACAAGCCCATGGACGTTTACCAATCTCATGGCCAGGATTTTAATCCTGCCTGACTGCTTCCTTATTGTCATTCTCCCAAAAAAAACCCCCAAAAACAAAAAACTGGAGCCAAGATCCTCTCTCACGTGGGGTGGAGTGTAATGCAATCCCGCTCAGCTACTGCTTCTAGAGTGTGCATAGTTTTTTTTTTTTTGCAAAGGTCATCTACACACTCCCTTGGCTGTTTAATTTCTGGGGCAGTTTTTGGGTTGCCTCAATGGACCCAATAAGAGGAGGGATAGCTAATTTTTCTTCTTCTTTTTTTCAGCTGCAAATGGAGTGTTCTTCACTCTTCCCCAGCTACTAAAGAGCTAAGGAACCATACCCCTGCCATTTGCAAAAGGCTTGTGATGTGTGTGTGTGTGTGTGTGTGTGAGGGGGGGGGTAGGCAGGTGTCGCACACACTGGCCGTGGGTAGCTTCTGCAACAAATTTAAAAGTACACCACGAGGATTCACAGCCAAAATTTACATCCCAAAGCTGCTGCTCCATGGAGGAAAAGGTCGACAAGGGTGGGATTTGAACCCACGCACGCAGAGCACAATGGATTAGCAGTCCATCGCCTTCACCACTCGGCCACCTTGTCAAGGGGGGGTACCTACAACCATCTCTGGGTGGGTTTGAACCACCATCCTTCTGGTTAACAGCCAGATGCCCTAATCCATTTCACCACAGAGACCTGGGCAGTGTTCCATTTCAGATCCTTCCTTT